ACATTGCTCCTCTATCCACTCTATCATATGCCTTTTCTAAATCCATAAATGCAATAAAAACTTCCCTACCTTTATCTAAATACTGTTCACATATATGCTTCAATGTAAACACTTTATCTACACATCCCCTACCCACTCTGAAGCCTCCTTGCTCATCCGCAATTCTACCTTCTGTCTTACCTCTAATTCTTTCAATCATAACTCTACCGTATACTTTTCCTGGTATACTCAGTAAACTTATTCCTCTATAATTTTTACAATCTCTTTTGTCCCCTTTCCCTTTATATAAAGGGACTATACATGCTCTCCGCCAATCCCTAGGTACCTTCCCCTCTTTCATACATTTATTAAACAAAAGTACCAACCACTCCAACACTATATCCCCCCCTGCTTTTAACATTTCTGTCATCATCCCATCAGTTCCAGCTGCTTTACCCCCTTTCATCCTACGTAATGCCTCACATACCTCCATATATATATATAATATATATAAAATATATATATATATATATATATATTTTTTCTTTTTTTTTTTTTTCAACAAGTCGGTCGTCTCCCACCGAGGCAGGGTGACCCAAAAAAGAAAGAAAATCCCCAAAAAGAAAATACTTTCATCATCATTCAACACTTTCACCACACTCACACATTATCACTGCTTTTGCGGAGGTGCTCAGAATACAACAGCTTAGAAGCATATACGTATAAAGATACACAACATATCCCTCCAAACTGCCAATATCCCAAACCCCTCCTTTAAAGTGCAGGCATTGTACTTCCCATTTCCAGGACTCAAGTCCGACTATATGAAAATAACTATATGAAAATATATATATATATATAAGCTGTTTTCTTCTGGGAACCATAAAGAGATTATAATTATAATAATAATACCTGGAGTTTACCTGGACAGAGTTCCGGGGGTCAACGCCCCCGCGGCCCGGTCTGTGGCCAGGCCTCCTGGTGGATCAGAGCCTGATCAACCAGGCTGTTGCTGCTGGCTGCACGTAAACCAACGTACGAGCCACAGCCCGGCTGGTCAGGAACCGACTTTAGGTGCTTGTCCAGTGCCAGCTTGAAGACTGCCAGGGGTCTGTTGGTAATCCCCCTTATGTATGCTGGGAGGCAGTTGAACAGTCTCAGGCCCCTGACACTTATTGTATGGTCTCTTAACGTGCTAGTGACACCCCTGCTTTTCATTGGGGGGATGTTGCATCGTCTGCCAAGTCTTTTGCTTTCGTAGTGAGTGATTTTCATGTGCAAGTTCGGTACTAGTCCCTCTAGGATTTTCCAGGTGTATATAATCATGTATCTCTCCCGCCTGCATTCCAGGGAATACAGGTTCAGGAACCTCAAGCGCTCCCAGTAATTGAGGTGTTTTATCTCCGTTATGCGCGCCGTGAAGGTTCTCTGTACATTTTCTAGGTCAGCAATTTCACCTGCCTTGAAAGGTGCTGTTAGTGTGCAGCAATATTCCAGCCTAGATAGAACAAATGACCTGAAGAGTGTCATCATGGGCTTGGCCTCCCTAGTTTTGAAGGTTCTCATTATCCATCCTGTCATTTTTCTAGCAGATGCGATTGATACAATGTTATGGTCCTTGAAGGTGAGATCCTCCACCATCATCACTCCCAGGTCTTTGACGTTGGTGTTTCTCTCTATTTTGTGGCCAGAATTTGTTTTGTACTCTGATGAAGATTTAATTTCCTCGTTTTACCATACTGAGTAATTGAAATTTCTCATCGTTGAACTTCAAAATTGTTTCTGCACCCCACTGAAAGTTTTGGTTGATGTCCGCCTGGAGCTTTGCAGTGTCTGCAAGGGAAAAGACACTGTCATGCAATTCGGGTGTCATCTGCAAAGGAAGACACGGTGCTGTGGCTGACATCCTTGTCTATGTCGGATATGAGGATGAGGAACAAGATGGAGCGAGTACTGTCCTTGTGGAACAAAAGCTTTTCACCGTAGCTGCCTCGGATTTTAAACTCTGTTGACGACTACTCTCTGTGTTCTGTTAGTGAGGAAATTATAGATCCATCGACCGACTTTTCCTGTTATCCCTTTAACACGCATTTTGTGCGCTATTACCCATGGTCACCCCTTGTCGAAGGCTTTCAAAGTTTTGTATATATTACATCTGCATTTTTTTTTATCTTCTAGTGCATTTTAGGACCTTGTCCCTAGTGATCCAATAGTTGAGACAGACAGGAGCGACCTGTTCAAACCCATGTTGCCCTGGGTTGTGTAACTGATGGGTTTTCTAGATGGGTGGTGATCTTGCTTCTTAGGACCCTTTCAAAGATTTTTATGATATGGGATGTTTTGTGCTATCGGTCTGTAGTTCTTTGCTGTTGCTTTACTGCCCCCTTTGTGGAGTGGGACTAGTCTGTTTTTTTAGTAACTGTGGGACGAACCCCGTGTCCATGCTCCCTCTCCATAGGATGGAAAAGGCCGTGATAGGGGCTTCTTGCAGTTTTTTGATGAACACGGAGTTTCCATGAGTCTGGCCCTGGGGCAAGTGCATGGGCATGTCACTTATCGCCTGTTTTGAAGTCATTTGGCGTCAGGATAACATCGATAGGCTTGTGTTAACCAAATTTTGTGGCTCTCTCATAAAAAAATCGTTTTGACTTCGACTCTCAGTCTGGTTAGCGGCTTGCTAAAAACTGAGTCATATTGGGACTTGAGTAGCTCACTCATTTTTCCCTTTCTGTCATCTGTGTAGGACCCATCTTGTTTAAGTAGGAGCCCAATACTGGATGTTGTTCTCGACTTTGATTTGGCATAGGAAAGAAATACTTTGGGTTTTCTTCGATTTCATTATGGCTTTTAGTTCTTCCCACGATTCCTGACTCCTATAAGATTGCTTTAAACTTGAGTTCGATGCTTGCTATTTCTCTGACCAGTGTCCCCTACACATTCAGATATATTTGACCTCTTTTAGCCGCTCTGTTATTCTTTTCAGTCCCCCTGTAAAGGGAGCGCCTGTCTCTTTCTATTTTACATCACTCCTCCTTTTTTCTTAGAGGAATAAGCCTTGGTGCATACATCGAGTGCCACCAAGTTAATCTGTTCTAGGCATACATTGGGGTCTGTGTTGCTTAGTATATCTTCCCAGCTTATATCGGTTAGGACTTGGTTTACTTGGTCCCACTTTATGTTTTTGTTATTGAAGTTGAATTTGGTGAATGCTCCCTCGTGACTAGTCTCATTATGTCGGTCTGGGGCTCCGCGCATACATGTCTGAACCTCAATTATGTTGTGATCTGAGTATATTGTTTTTGATATGGTGACATTTCTTATCAGATCATCATTGTTAGTGAAGATGAGGTCTAGTGTATTCTCCAGTCTAGTAGGCTCTATTATTTGCTGGTTTAAATTGAATTTTGTGCAGAGATTTAAAAGCTCGTGTGAGTGTGAATTTTCATCAGAGCTGCCTCCTGGTGTTATTACTGCAACAATATTATTTGCTATATTCCTCCTGCCTTAAGTTGAAATCCCCCAGGAGCAAGATGTTGGGTGCAGGAGCTGGAAGATTTTCCAGACAGTGGTCAATTTTTAACAGCTGTTCCTGGAATTGCTGGGATGTTGCATCCGGAGGCTTGTAGACTACCACAATGACTAGGTTTTGGTTCTTGACCTTTACTGCTAAAACTTCCACTACATCATTTGAGGCATTTAGCAGTTCTGTGCAAACAAGTGACTCTGCAATGTACAGGCCAACCCCCCCCTTTTGCCTGTTCACTCTGTCACATCTGTATAGGTTGTAACCTGGGATCCATATTTCGTTGTCCAAGTGATCCTTTATGTGGGTCTCAGTGAAAGCCGCGAACATTGCCTTTGCCTCTGCAAGCAGTCCATGGATGAAAGGTATATATATATTTTTTTTTTTCAACATATATATATATAATTTATATCAGCTGTTTTCTTCTGGGAACCATAAAGAGATTATAATAATATATATATATATATATATATATATATATATATATATATATATATATATATATATATATATATATACTATATATATATATATATATATATATATACATATACATATATATATATATATATATATATATATATATATATATATATATATATATATATTAATTCAATACAGTGCTGACACTAAAAATACTGTAAATGTATGTCTGTATGTATGTAATTATTTATGGATGCTTGTGTGTTTGAGCTCCATCTTGAGGTCATGTATCTACATGTATATGCATAAGTGTACAGACAAGAAGTTGTAATAAGCACTGCCCAACGGCTCAAAATCTCCACATAAAGACAACAAAACAGACAATAAGAAAAGTGTAATACACATTTCAGCTTCACCCTGAAGCCCTCTTCAGTAAACCAAGTACAAGAGATGACACTTACAGACTGAGGGAGGTCACATTAATAATGCAAGCTTCTGAGAATACATCACTAATAAGGGACATGTTTATTATGTAAATTTAACCTCTAATATATCCCCTGATGCTTACAATTTTACATTACCCAAACTGTCATTAAGCAGGTGAGGCCTACACAGCAGCACAGAATTCTTTACTAAGAAGTTTTAGGATTATGCTTGTCAGACATTCATGATTACTGTACAGTGAAATTAATGATAAAATAGCTAATATTGAACTAAACAGGCATCTGGATCACTGATCACTTTACGGAGGATATAACCTAAGCAACCAAACGATTCACTGGTGCATTAACTGTGACAGAGTTACTGAAATTCTTTCTTAATTAAAGTTTGTGATAATAATGCATATATATGAGGGGTGGCTGTCCGGTCAGGGAAAGGTGTTATTAAACTAATGTAGTACAAATGTTAGTTATACTATGACCTGCTCCATGAAGCTTTCGGTTATTTGACGGAGACTTTCCTCTGGCTTACCAGTCCATTTTGTGAAAAATTAAAAATCACATCCTAAGATGTGATACCATATTTTTAAATTTCTCCATACTATGTAAAAAAACACATTTTTTCAAGAACTTACTTGTAAATTGGCTGACTGAGATGGGTGGCATCTGAGGGTCCATTATGAACATTACTGGAAGCATCATGTACATGCAGAGAGATCACATACTGTGATGGAAAACCAGGCTCCACATCATCCACTTCAACTTTTACTACATGAAGTTGACCATCAGCATCCTGGTTAACACACACACAAGCCTTTTTGATTTTTATAGCTACATATAACACAGAGAAAATGGAACTAATTAATTGCTGATTAAATACAATAAACTGTTCTTGATGATTGTACTAGTATATATGTATCAGTAAATATTTTTGTACATAGGGATAATATTGATTGATGTCAAATGTTTACCTTTAATATAAGAGAATCAGCTTCTGACAATGAGCACTCTCTCCTCATGAAGTACACTCTCCATTCTGGCTTCCAGTAAGATACTAGATAAAACATCCCCAGGGTGAGTATAGTCAGCAGGTAGAAGATGGCAGCCTTACAACAAGAGTACCGGTAACCATGAACCATCAGCTCCTCATCCGTGCCTGGCTGGATAACCTGCTCATGGTTGGACACCCCTCTATCCCTTTCTCTATCCTCGCCTAACCGGTCATACGCCATGTTTGCAACTGAAAGAAGCATGTGTAATGTGACATGATTTAAGTGCGAAAGGCCACCAGTATCCTGGTGGGCAGGAGTGTATTGCAAGTACAGTAATTACACAGCCATCCTACAATATTCTGGTGGGTAGGAGTGTACAAGTAATTACATTTTTATTGCAACCAACTGGATATAACATGTTAAATATGTATTTCAAACCTCTTGTACACCCACTTATGTATTAAGTAAAGGATTAAAATACAGATACATTATAGTACCTAATTCACTTACCTTTTCACTATCAAAATATGTACAGAGAAGGTCTATATAACATCAACTCTTATATTGAACAGCACTGTGATTCAACACTGACTCCAGGTACAGGACACCACAACTTAAGTTCTGTTTTCCCACATTTCTGTTACGATGATTTTCCATTGTGTAGCCATATTCCACTAAATCAAAATTTATAAATGTAGCACTAACAGACAACAGTAAAATAACATGCATTAATGTATCTTTAATTACAGTATAATAAATCACACTTTTAATGTGTTCTGTACAGAGTACAGAATTATTTCCATACAAACTGGTTGGCATCAATGTATACAGTGAAAAACATTTTTTTTATTTTAATGTATTACTTTCAAGTGAACAGAGTGAAATGTTCTATAGTACTGAATAATATATTCTCATGAATAACAAATTCTCCAATAAATGTAACACAATTTATATCATTCATCAATAGTTATTGTTTGTGAAATTTTTTATTTAACTAAATTACAGTAGTATAGTTTACTTTGGGTGTACACAGTATATGAAATATGTGAGTGTAAGCCAATGGCAGCTGCCACACTGAGCTCTGTATGTAAGGAACACCTGCTCACCTAACAGGTGATGCAAGTGTAGACACATGGTGGAGAGGGAAGGGGGGAGAGGAGCAGCAGAGTAAACAGGGGGAGAGGAGGTGGAGAGGATCAATAGTTGCTTCTTTAATCACTTAAAAATGAATGGTTGTGCTGCAGTTTGGAGCACATCTGGCAAGACAGCTATCAAATGAAAGATAGTAAAAATGCTTCACTTGCTGGGTCACCCTATCTTGGTAGTAGACAATCAGTGGCGCAAAAAAAAAAAGGGGGGGGGGGTAGGAAAGTGTATAGGGCTGGGCCTCATAACACCCCCTTCAATATAGTCCTGTTACATATGGGCTAAGTCTGAAACTTACCCTAAGCCCCAGACATGGTAATAATACAGTTTAGTCAGTTTGCAAATGAAAATACAGTATGTCACACTATTCAACTTAACTGCATTGTTTGAGGTTAAACTGACATAATGTACAATTGTTCTATGCCTAAAATATCTGTGTTCTCAAAACCATTATACTGTACAAAATGTAGACTACTATCATCAAAATATCTGTAACTTTTCTAACCACAGCTTAACTTAACACTATAAAGTTATTCTTAGCAAATAATGTGGTACAATATCAGATTATTACTCAGGGAGAAATGTACGCTTACAAAAAGTTACAAGACAAGCTAGTCATCAAGATGGGATGTCAAGAAAACAGATCTGCTGCCACTCAAGAGGGAGAGGTTTTTTAGTGCCAGGAAGGAAAAAAAAACTGGCAGGAAATGGCAGAAATCGTACACCAAATCCAGTCATTCCTGGAGTGGAACCACAGTCGATGGCCTCCACTCCAAACCAACAGATACAGATACTAATGCCGGAAAAAAAATCCCCCCCAGTACCAAAAATACCACCAGTCCGATAACATTCTTCTTTGCAAATATACAGGGTCTAAAGCCAGCAACAAACAACAAAATACCTTTCATCCGTGGACTGCTTGCAGAGGCAAAGGCAATGTTCGCGGCTTTCACTGAGACCCACATAAAGGATCACTTGGACAACGAAATATGGATCCCAGGTTACAACCTATACAGATGTGACAGAGTGAACAGGCAAAAGGGGGGGGGGGGTTGGCCTGTACATTGCAGTCACTTGTTTGCACAGAACTGCTTAATGCCTCAAATGATGTAGTGGAAGTTTTAGCAGTAAAGGTCGAGAACCAAAACCTAGTCATTGTGGTAGTCTACAAGCCTCCGGATGCAACATCCAGCAATTCCAGGAACAGCTGTTAAAAAATGACCACTGTCTGGAAAATCTTCCAGCTCCTGCACCCAACATCTTGCTCCTGGGGGATTTCAACTTAAGGCACCTAAAATGGAGGAATATAGCAAATAATATTGTTGCAGTAATAACACCAGGAGGCAGCTCTGATGAAAACTCACACTCACACACGAGCTTTTAAATCTCTGCACAAAATTCAATTTAAACCAGCAAATAATAGAGCCTACTAGACTGGAGAATACACTAGACCTCATCTTCACTAACAATGATGATCTGATAAGAAATGTCACCATATCAAAAACAATATACTCAGATCACAACATAATTGAGGTTCAGACATGTATGCGTGGAGCCCCAGACCGACATAATGAGACTAGTCACGAGGGAGCATTCACCAAATTCAACTTCAATAACAAAAACATAAAGTGGGACCAAGTAAACCAATTCCTAACCGATATAAGCTGGGAAGATATACTAAGCAACACAGACCCCAACTTATGCCTAGAACAGATTAACTCGGTGGCACTCGATGTTTGCACAAGGCTTATTCCTCTAAGAAAAAGGAGTAGATGTAAAATAGAAAGAGACAGGCGCTCCCTTTACAGGCGACGGAAAAGAATAACAGAGCGTCTAAAAGAGGTCAATATATCTGAAATGTGTAGGGAGACACTGGTCAGAGAAATAGCAAGCATCGAACTTAAGCTAAAAGAATCCTTTAGGAGTCAGGAATCGCGGGAAGAACTAAAAGCCATAAATGAAATCGAAAGAAACCCAAAGTATTTCTTGTCTTATGCCAAATCAAAATCGAGAACAACGTCCAGTATTGGGCCCCTACTTAAACAAGATGGGTCCTACACAGATGACAGCAAGGAAATGAGTGAGCTACTCAAGTCCCAGTATGACTCAGTTTTTAGCAAGCCGCTAACCAGACTGAGAGTCGAAGATCAAAATGAATTTTTTATGAGAGAGCCACAAAATTTGATTAACACAAGCCTATCCGATGTTATCCTGACGCCAAATGACTTCGAACAGGCGATAAATGACATGCCCATGCACTCTGCCCCAGGGCCACACTCATGGGACTCTGTGTTCATCAAGAACTGCAAGAAGCCCCTATCACGAGCCTTTTCCATCCTATGGAGAGGGAGCATGGACACGGGGTCGTCCCACAGTTACTAAAAACAACAGACATAGCCCCACTCCACAAAGGGGGCAGTAAAGCAACAGCAAAGAACTACAGACCAATAGCACTAACATCCCATATCATAAAAATCTTTGAAAGGGTCCTAAGAAGCAAGATCACCACCCATCTAGAAACCCATCAGTTACACAACCCAGGGCAACATGGGTTTAGAACAGGTCGCTCCTGTCTGTCTCAACTATTGGATCACTACGACAAGGTCCTAAATGCACTAGAAGACAAAAAGAATGCAGATGTAATATATACAGACTTTGCAAAAGCCTTCGACAAGTGTGACCATGGCGTAATAGCGCACAAAATGCGTCCTAAAGGAATAACAGGAAAAGTCGGTCGATGGATCTATAATTTCCTCACTAACAGAACACAGAGAGTAGTCCTCAACAGAGTAAAGTCCAAGGCAGCTACGGTGAAAAGCTCTGTTCCACAAGGCACAGTACTCGCTCCCATCTTGTTCCTCATCCTCATATCCGACATAGACAAGGATGTCAGCCACAGCACCGTGTCTTCCTTTGCAGATGACACCCGAATCTGCATGACAGTGTCTTCCATTGCAGACACTGCAAGGCTCCAGGCGGACATCAACCAAATCTTTCAGTGGGCTGCAGAAAACAATATGAAGTTCAACGATGAGAAATTTCAATTACTCAGATATGGTAAACATGAGAAAATTAAATCTTCATCAGAGTACAAAACAAATTCTGGCCACAAAATAGAGCGAAACACCAACGTCAAAGACCTGGGAGTGATCATGTCGGAGGATCTCACCTTCAAGGACCATAACATTGTATCAATCGCATCTGCTAGAAAAATGACAGGATGGATAATGAGAACCTTCAAAACTAGGGAGGCCAAGCCCATGATGACACTCTTCAGGTCACTTGTTCTATCTAGGCTGGAATATTGCTGCACACTAACAGCACCTTTCAAGGCAGGTGAAATTGCCGACCTAGAAAATGTACAGAGAACTTTCACGGCGCGCATAACGGAGATAAAACACCTCAATTACTGGGAGCGCTTGAGGTTCCTAAACCTGTATTCCCTGGAACGCAGGAGGGAGAGATACATGATTATATACACCTGGAAAATCCTAGAGGGACTAGTACCGAACTTGCACATGAAAATCACTGAAAGCAAAAGACTTGGCAGACGATGCACCATCCCCCCAATGAAAAGCAGGGGTGTCACTAGCACGTTAAGAGACCATACAATAAGTGTCAGGGGCCCGAGACTGTTCAACTGCCTCCCAGCACACCTAAGGGGGATTACCAACAGACCCCTGGCAGTCTTCAAGCTGGCACTGGACAAGCACCTAAAGTCAGTTCCTGATCAGCCGGGCTGTGGCTTGTATGTTGGTTTGCGTGCAGCCAGCAGCAACAGCCTGGTTGATCAGGCTCTGATCCACAAGGCGGCCTGGTCACAGACCGGGCCGTGGGGGCGTTGACCCCCGGAACTCTCTCCAGGTAAACTCCAGGTTATTAATCTTAAGTTAGTTTCTCCGCACATTAAAGGGCTTTCGGCATGCACACCTAAATGTAATTCACCTTTGTACAAACACTGTACCAAGCTGAAATAAAGTATCTTTATCTTTATCTAAACACGTAATAACACTCATGCTAAATAAGATAGTCACAGATATGTGCTTATCAGGACTGTTGACACTGATTTAGTGATTATTGCCAAATTGAGTTCATGTTAGTTCCTGATTAACCGAGTTGTGGTGCTTAGTTTGGCTTGCATGCTGCTAGCCACCAGTGCCTGATGGATCAAGGTAATGAACAGGCCTGGTCTGTTCATTACCTTGATCCGATACAGGTACGTACACTGTACATACCTGTGGTGGTTAACGCTCTCGCTTCACACGGTGAGGGCCTGGGTTCGATTCCCAGCCAGAGTAGAAACATTGGGCGTGTTTCTTTCCACCTGTTGTCTATGTTCCCCATCAGTAAAATGGGTACCTGGGTGTTAGTCGACTGGTGTGGGTCGCATCCTGGGACACTGACCTAATTTGCCCGAAATGCAGAGCATAACAAGGGAGTTTCTATATAGTAGTATGTCATTGTTGTCAGCTAGGACTGTATACCATGTACATGTACTTGTAGTAAATAAAGATATTATTATTATTATTATTATTATGTGTAAGTACCTAGGATAACCAAAAATGTCAAAGCGACTTATTTCCATTGGGGTCCTTGAGATAGCGACCAGAGTCTAGCCACATTCTTTGCATTTGGTTTAAGAATCATGTGTGTCTGCCAAACTGTTAAAAGTACTTTTCATCAAACCTAAGCCTGGTTATTACAACATCAGTTTTAATATTGCGAATTGCTCCATAAACATACTTATATCTTTATTTCTACAAGTACACGTACATGGTATACAGGCGGCCTGGTGGCTAAAGCTCCCGCTTCACACACGGAGGGCCCGGGTTCGATTCCCGGCGGGTGGAAACATTTCGACATGTTTCCTTACACCTGTTGTCCTGTTCACCTAGCAGCAAATAGGTACCTGGGTGTTAGTCGACTGGTGTGGGTCGCATCCTGGGGGACAA